ACCGCCAAAGGTTTTGAACGTAGTAGATACAAATCAGGGAAAGCATTAAAAGGCACCGGCACGCCAAAAGCGAAAATTCTTTTTTATGCGAGGATCTCACCAGCCAGTTTGACTACGCCACCGCTGCCGCAGTGCATCGAGGGAGCTTTAGTCTTTCTGCACGTGCGACAACCTCGCTGGAGCTCTGCGCGTGTGGAGCATAAGGCGGCACGAGCCGTCATGTGCACTGCTGCCTGCCTCCTGTGAACTAAAGTTATGGCGGCGTCACGCATGCGCCAAACGCTTGGTGAGATCGGTATTGATTGGATTGTCAGGATCACGGTGGAAGAAACACATCTAGGTGATGACTCAGTCGGACGCGGCGACCACATTATGTTCGGCGCACCGAGCGCGCTTCACTCGCACGGGGATAGATGACGCCCACGTATAGAGAGGCTCAGAGAGAGGCTTGTGAAGGCTTGTATAGAGGACTTGTGATGGAAATTAGGCATTCTTTGCTCGGTCCCTGTGTACTGTGTGGTGAAATGATGGATTTATGTTGGCCCATTGGCACTGATTGCATTTTTCCCCGTGCGGTTGCTGTTTTTTAAACGAGAACATTTCGATGATTACTCAATGTGACAAAAATACTCGTATAAATACAGAACTTCCCGGCTCATTCTCTGGGCTTTCAATAATTAAGAGTAATTTAAAATAATTCCGTTAAACAGCTGGGTCGTGCTCGCTTGTTTTGTCCGACAGCATGTTTGGTAACAGTTCCTTAAATTGGTTACACACATTGCTTGGCTTTATAGGAGGTCGGGGGATTTTTTCCACCCTGCTCCTGCCTTCTTATGGAAAACATAAATTACAATAATGTTACATTGTGGGGCCTAAATATGTATTTACATGGGCAGAAAGGTATTAGCATTACAAATGGTTTCTACATACGATGTCAACTAGTACTGTGGTACATACAAACCATGTGAGCAGAACCTATTTTTATTTATGATGACATAGTGACTGAAATGATGACACGGTATGATGACATACTGACTGAAATGATGACACAGTGACCGAAAGTCAAACAGTAGTAGCGGTTATAGGACATAAATCAATTTTCCTCTATACACTCACAATATGGGGTCCCCCCCGTCTTCCAGGCCTCACAGGTATTACAGGTAACGTGTTAGGTACTTCGGGCAGCCAGGGAAAATGCTCGGAACAGCGTCTACAAAAATCGCAGGCTTCTTCGCAGCGTGGACAACTTTCCCACCGAACTCCTCATGACACCATTTCGATATCAGTTCGTCGGGGAAATGCTTGGCACAAACATGATCACTACGCAGTAACTTGCAATCGGCCCTCAAGGTTGCACGACGCCACTGCTCCATGCGGGCGTTTTAGAGCGCAGCTCTTAGGGGCCCGTTTCCGGCTTGAGCGGCGTCGCCGTCGCCGTCGACGTAACCGCGAGGTCACGTGACCCCCCCCCCCCAAGGCCACGTGACCTCCTCGAGGTCACGTGACCCCTTGAGATGACGTGAGCCCCCCTTAGGTCACTTCACTCCCCCCCTGAGGTCAGGCGACCTCCCGAGGTCACGTGACCCCCTGACGTCACACGACCCCCCCCCCCCCGAGGTCACGTGACCTGAAGGAGTCACCTATCTCTCAGTACGCTTCCATCCTTCTCCTCAAGAGCTGCGCTCTAATCTAGCGTTACAGGGAATTGTAAACGGCTTTCTTTTTTTCGATGGAGCTTTAAACAAATTCACTCGCTCTGCACAGTTCCGGAACTGAATTGCAGTAGGGAACGAAGCACGTCTTTCCCAGCCTTATAGCATAACTTATTCTTCTTCGGGTTAGGGCTCACCTTCGTGCACGATGGTGGCGCCTGTGATCGACACAGCACCAAAGCGAAACACGAGGCCAGCCACTGAGCGCACACACCGCCCCCACACTACCACACCGCGAAAAAGGCGAGCACGCTACGCCGCCGAGGGGGGACCTTGTACCCACGGTGCTCATAGATAAGCGCCCTCCGCGGAGGCGCGGAACTATACTACTCCTGGCTCGAGGCTAACTCCGAACACGATCTGGTCGCTCACTCCCCGCAGGAAGAGCGGCCAGAGTCATCACCTAAATGTATTTCTTCCACCGTGGTCAGGATACTGTCCAATTCATTTTTTTTTTTAATTAAAATCGCATAGATCTTTTTTTAGATAAAAATTACCGAACCGAAACTAATACCCCATTCACATGGCCAGCAAAGCTACCTTTAAGTCTCTTCGCGATCGGCGAATCAGCCCGCTCTCTTGGGTCGGAGCACTTATCACGCGCGGAAGTTCGCGAACTGGTTCGCCGCTGGCCATAATGTTCCCGCTAAAGGTACCTTTACGACCATGTGGATGGTGCATAAGCCGCCCACGCGGGCTCACGCGGTACTCTGGGACGTCACGCGTTTCCGGGTGACGTCGGCATCTGTGGCGTCACGCATTTGTAAAGGGGGTCACGGCGGTCGGAAGGAGGGCCTCGCCGGAAGTCACGTCTCTGGAACCGCATAGGTGTTTTCCTTTTTTGTTACTTTTATTATAGCGTGTGTAATATACGTGCAAAACTATGTGTACCTCGATATACCTTTCATTTTATTTGTATTTTTTTTTCTAAACCACATTTACACTGCTGACTTGTAAGGGTGGTGAGGCCCATCAAGCGGTGGACGACACTGCTTTTTATTTTTTTCTCGCCACCCTCAGTTTGGGTTTCAAGCTCAAATAAACGCTGATAATCAGCGCTTTCCTGGGCCATTTGGTTGTTTTGCTGCCGAAACGTTCAAGGCGTTTTGTGAATTGCAAAGACCTAAGAATAACCCCTTGTAAATGAAATGGAAAGAACCGAAGTTCCCAATGACAGTCTTACTTGAATCGGACTTAGAGGGGTTATGACACGAAAATTAAACTGATAGATTATTCTTGAAATGGAATGCTCATAGGCTACTTAGTATATACACCAAGTTACGCGATTTTCAGAGCTCTGGTAATTGCAATATTCAATTCACGAATTTTTATCATTTTCATCTGGCGACCAGGCAACACTGCCCAAGTTAGTCACACCATGGTGTCCATAAACCACGTGACCATGAACGCTCTCTCATTCTAGGCGCCCTCATGATCTCCCAAGCTCTCCTCGCCGCGGTACGATCAAAACGGCTCACGGAACTCGGTAACCCGAACGCTACCCTCGCTCTCACTCACCCCCGGCCCGTTGACCTTCCACCGTGCATGCGCCTGCGAGATATTCCCGGACGACGGTGACCACGGGGAGCTCGTCCGTAAAGGGGTGTCCAAACAGGACACTACAAAAGGCACGACTCCGACAAATCGTGAAAATTGAAGCGGGCGCGTCCGCTTCCATTTTCACGATTTGTCGGAGTCGTGCCTTTTGTAGTGTCCTGTATGGACACTCCTTAACTCGTCGTCGCTGGAGCTGGTCGCCAGCGGGTCGCAGTCAAAATGAACAGCTTCCAACATCTCTTGATAGCAATCACTCTAATTGCTGCGGCGATCAATGTCGAACACTTTGACAAGGCGAGCGATACCGTAGACGTAATCGTCAAAGACCGCATGCTCGCAACGTGGAAGGTAAACGAAGAAGCTGAGGCTCGAGACGCCAAGAGAGCCAAGTCTGTGAGTGCGTGCAAGGAGACACCGCGCTGGAGGCTGACTACGTAGCCAACCTCCAGCTCCGCCCGGATCCGCCTCTCCGAGGGACCCGCATAGTAATCGATTCATCCACGAAACTATCGCGCCATTTTCAAAACAAATTTAGCAGGATTATAGGAACATACAATGGGTCCTAGCAGTATAGTTATCTCATATTCCACATATGCTATGTGGAAGCAGACAATGCGCTTAGCCGACGTCTATTGAGACTCACGGGGTTTCTTCACAGGGGTGTCACGCGGCCACACAAAATCTAACAACAAACGACAGCGACCTTCCGGTTTCAAATTCCTAAAGTTTCTTCACAGCGCTCTTTACTGAACCCAGCAGGCACATAATATGGCACTACAAACCATCAGCCGCAAGCACATCTAGTACAGAGGTTGTACAGACGACATGCGCATTTCATGCTCCACGTGTGCAAAGCCGCCGCTTCCACGACGCGAGGCACAGCAGGCAGAGCCGGTTGAAGCCTCGAAACGTCATCTGGAAAGGTGGTAAAAGTGCCGCCGCGCTACTGAGGAGTCCGAAGCCAGAGCCCTCTGAGCCCCAGCGAACCAGGACGACACACAGCCCGCCCACCTGATAAACATTCATCGAGGTCCGCGTATCAGTTTATTTCAGTGTTGTGATTTCACAGAGTCTGTAGCGGCTGTGGTGACTTGTTACGACCTGTGTGAGTGGTCAAGGCGGACACACAAGTCACTTGGGAGCCAACCGAAGCCAGACCGTATGAAACTACGGACCAAGTGGTGGACACAAAAACTTTGGTGCTTTCTCTTTTGTTTTTGTTTTTAATTTTGTTCATCCATGTCTAATCAACAAAGATTTTTTTTTTTTTTTGAACGCGCCTGGTGATGTTATTTTGGGAGCAACCGCCCTGATGCAAGAGGGTTTTGGTGCTACTGAATACTGAACACTGATACTGGTTGTCTCCTCGCTGCTCCTATCGGGAGATGACGCCACAACTAAATAGCGTCGCGGCGTCGCTAACTTCGTCTGCGAACGCACTCAACCTTTATTTTGGCAATATAATTGCTCTCATTTTTTACAGGAAAAGAACTGCGCCTTTAGTTTTCACATGGTAAAACCGACCCGCTCAGTGCACATTCAGTGAAAGTTTGCGCTGTCGTATTCAGTTACACTAGTTTGAGCTTTCTTTGCGCATGCGCCGATTTTTCCGGTTTGTTTTAAATCGGAGAAGGTCCGCTTTGGACACTCTATACTTGGAATGAGAATATGAAGCCGTTGCGATACTCTGCTCGGCGAGCATAGATAGAATATACAGTTACTCAAATGCAGGGCAGCTTCCAGCGACTACTGTCGGCGGAGAGTGAGTCGGCAGCCAAGATCATGGCGTACGCCGGGGCATTGGGCATGCTGCTCGTGTCTGTGGGGGCCGTACTGCTCGGATGTGTGTCCAGATTCGCCGGTGAGTCGCTTCGACGGTAATTCTTGCCGCAATGAATTCCACTAGGCTGCACCACTCCACAAAGCGGATACACAAGAAAACACCGAATCTGGGGTAAAGATAAACACCAAAAAAAAAAAAAATGTAATTCGGAAAAAAATACAAAAATGGATAAAGTCCGACAACACGAAACCCTAATTATAGGTTTTCCTAACTAGCTCGCCTGCATACTTTCGCTCTTTGCAAGGGCCGTTCGGCAGGGGGCGCGCTGGTGCAATACTTGTGGCGCCGCAACGCGGCGCGAGGTCGCCCTACTGCGGTGTTCGCCTGTCCCGTCGTGCTGCCAGTTGCAATGGCGAGCAGCAGCGCGTTGTAATTTTATTGCAACTTTCGTACTGTTGAAAAGCGCTTATTATTTCTGTAGGGAGGTAAACCTCCAGAAAGTGAGGTTGCTCATGTGCCAGGTCTCCGGGGTAGAGGAGATAATCAGAAGAACATTTGTCAACAGCGAAGTGCGTCTCGCAAATGCAAGGCAGCGTCTCCTAAAGCCGGGGTCATACTGCTTTTATGCCCATGTCCCACTAGAGCGACAGACAAAAACAAACGACAGCGACAAGCCTCAAACCAGAGTCTTTCGCGATTTTATAGGCTTTGTAGAATAAAAGAAGCTGTTGTAGAACCAGATTGGACAAACTGAATAACTGTTTATTAAAGGTACACACTGAAAGTTACATTGCTATAAAGACAGTTTCGAGCAGAAGACGCGTTAACCGCGTCTTTCCTTTAGGAGGACCCAACACAAAGAGACCGAGCCACACCCCGGCAACCCAGAAATTCCCCCGTTTCTCTCTCTCCTGGTCATAAAACACTACGCCGACCACGTAGACTAAACACTCTCCGAACACTCCCCGTCTTTAGGTCGGGTTTCCAAACTCTGTGCCCCCTCGCCGCGGCTCAAGTGATTTGTGGTATACGAGCCAGTAGACCGAGGTGGCGCGTGAAAACTCTATCCGCAACATCCTCCCCGCAGATGAGCTCAGCTCATCTCAAGTGGGTATAGACGCTGAACAGGGCGCCTGACCTCTGAGCCGTTACACAATTTTATCTTACAGGCTCGCACATTTCCGTCCCGACCTGGGAAACACTCCAGAATCCTGCCGGTTCTCCAAAACAATCGAGGAACGTGGTCGTCATGCACAATTACGACATCACCAGCATTGAGACCGCTGCTGGATTGAGGCCTACGAGCATGCGCACTTCGTAGGTTATACAGATATTCTTTAGCCCACCTGTTCCAAAACATATTCATCAATCGCTGGCGGTGTGACCATCTCCCAACCAACTCCGTTCGAGTGGATGTCACGTCTCCTCTTTTATGATGAGGTAATGTGGTTAGCCTCCTACCACAAAGGAAGTGAGCAGGAGTTAAGACATTTGGTTCGTTTGGTTCGGAGTAGACATACGTCATTGGTCGAGAGTTGATCACAGCCTCAACTTCCGTTAGTACAGTTGTGATCTGATCGACATCAAGCGCAGCTTTGCCGATGTTTCTTTTCAGACAGCTCTTAACCGATCCCACCATACGCTCCCAAAAACCACCCCACCATGGAGCTCTTTCAACGATAAACCTCCAAGTGATCCGGTGGGTGGTGCAGTAGTCTTTCAATTCGGAACTACATAACACATCGTACATCTGCTTTAGATCTTTAGCAGCTCGTTTGAAAGTCAGTGCATTATCTGAACACATCATTCGCGGCAACCCACGCCTTGACACAAAGCGTCTGAAAGCCATTAGAAAGGCGTTGGTAGACATATCCAGGACAAGTTCTAAATGTATCGCTCGCGTAACAGCACATGTGAATACAAGAATATATGCCTTGACACTGTTTGTTCCGGATTTCACGAACATCGGTCCAGCAAAGTCCACGCCACAGACCTCGAACGGTTCTGCCTTTGTCACGCGGTCTTCAGGCAGAGGGGCCGTCGGGGCGTTCATGGGCTTGAGCTTGAGTCGAAGACACATCTTACAGCGTCCGATCACTCGTTTTACGCACTGTCGCCCTCTCACAACCCAGTAGTGCTCCCGCAGTTCACACAGAGTAGCACTCACACCACCATGCAAAATGCGAACATGCGTGTGCTCAACGAGGAGCTCCGTGAAACGGTTGTCTCCCGGAAGTAGCACCGGAAACTTCGTCTCGTCGGGTGCCGAGACATTCTGCAGTCGAGTCTCAATGCGGATCACACCGTCTTCATCCAAGAAAGGGTGCAGGTCCCGGACACGCGAGCTCGACCGCAGGCGGTCACTGGCGACGAGGCTTGCTTTTTCTTCGCTGTAGCTCTCTCCCTGAACATGTTTCGTCCAGTATCTCTCTGCCTCCTCCAATTCATTGGTGGACAGAGATCCGCTGACTCTTGAACCCATGCCTTGCAAGTTTTTAATGAATCGCATGATCCACGCCGTCACCCTCATTGCCTTGAGCCATTTGCTGTAGTCTGTAAGTACGAGGAGAGGCCCTTGTACGGTTGTTTTGCTGAGCAGCACTGTGCTTTTGCCTCTTAGCTCTGCGACAGCATCCGGAACCTCGTCGTTCGTCTCTCTTCTTTGAGGCCAGAAATCTAGATCACGTGACAACCACTGCGGGCCCTGCCACCACACCTTGGAAAGGGTCAGGTTGGAGGCGGGTACTCCTCGGGTGAGCATGTCCGCGGGGTTGTCCTTTCCTGAACAGTGTCGCCACCGAAGGGGGTCGGTGTTGCTTTGGATCTCCACGACCCTGTTGCACACAAATGGCTTCCATTTGCTTGCCGATGCCTGAATCCTACTGAGGGTGATGGTAGAATCTGTCCAAAGGTGGCATTCCAGGTCAGGCAAATCCAATGTCTCAATCAAGAAAGCCATCAATCTTGATCCGATAAGAGCGCCGAGGAGCTCCAAACGTGGCAAAGTCATTTTCTTCAAAGGTGCAACACGTGCCTTGGACATCACAAGCCGTACGCTGGTGTTTCCGTTAGTGTCCTCGACTCGCATGTAGGCCACAGCTCCGTACGCCTGAATGCTTGCGTCCGTGAAAACATGGAGTTGTCTGGACTTAACTGCTCCCTCTGTCACCAAGAAGCATCTGTCGACCGAAAGAGAGCCAAGTTCAACAAGCTCGCCGCACCATGCAAGCCATTCCTCACGCAAATCATTTGGCAATGAGGTGTCCCAGTCGATTCCTTTCTCCCAAATATGCTGAAACAAAATTTTGGCTCGGATGCTGTATGGAGAGAGCAGTCCCAAAGGGTCGAAGAGCCTCGAAGTGGTCTGAAGAACGAACCTCTTCGTATCCATTCTTTCTTCGACGAAGTCTGACAGTGACTGTAAGTTCACCTGAAGATTGTCCTGTTCGGTGTCCCAAAGAATTCCCAGTACCTTTGTCAGACCTGACGATTCAGCACAAGTAGACGTTTCGTCCGCTGTCTTTTCAATGTGACACTTGAGTTCCCTTGAGCTCGTCGACCACTTTTGAAGCCTCAATCCCGCCTTGGCAAGTATTTCCGTGGAGTCATCGTAGAGTTTCTGCGCCTCTTCGTATGATGAGACACCCACAATCAGGTCGTCAACATAAAAACACCTTTCAAGGTGCATCGCCGTTGGCTTGGCTTCTCCCTCGACCGAACGCAGGTGATGCTGCAATGTCGCTGTCAAGAGAAAAGGGCTTGCAGTTGACCCGAAAGGAACTCTTGTCATTCGAAACTCTTGAATGGGAGGCAATTCTTCTCCAGGAACGGGAGGGCTGTCAAACCACAAAAAACGAAGAGCATCCCTGTCCTCAGGTCTGACGCTGATTTGAAAAAAAAGCCTTCTGAATGTCAGCTGTTAGTGCTATCCTGTGACAACGGAAGTTCACGAGGATCTTCAGCATGTCGTTGTTTAGATTAGGCCCTTTCTCCAGATGGTCGTTCAGCGAGAGCTCTCCTGTAGTGTGCGAAGACGCATCGAAAACCACTCGCAACTTTGTTGTGGCTGAAGCTTCTCGGATAACAGCTCTATGTGGCATGTAGTACACATTTGCCTTTTCGTTGGTTGCTTCCGTCACTTTCTCTGCGTGTCCGTCGTTTAGGTATTGCCTAATAGCAGAGTCGTACTTCAGAAGAAGTTCTTCGTCTCGAGCCAAGCGATGGCAGAGCCCTTGCAGTCTCTTCTCTGCCACCTTTCTGTTATTGCCGAGATCTCCTAGGTTCTGAGACTTCCAGGGAAGAGCAACTTGGTATCTTCCATCTGTCATTGTGATGGTTTCCTCAAAACCCCGTAATACAGACTCGTAGTGAGCAGAGTCGGTCGTTGAGTCCTTGATGCCGAGGCTTTCAAGTTCCCAGAACTGCCGCAGGGTCGAGCTTACTTCATCGTCGCCCGTTGCACCGGCTCTGAGCACGCACACGTTGCTGCTTGTTTGCTTTCGTCTTGAGTTCTTCGAGGTCACGGGACCCTGAAATGTCCATCCCATTGTTGTTTTCACGGCTGATAGACACCTGTTGTTTTCATCCCAGCATACTTCATGCTCCAACAGCTTTCCAAGCTGATCTGCTCCAACTAGAAGGCTGATTCCGCACTCTCTCTGAACGCCTGGGAAGACCAGCACATCCGCTAGATACTTTTTTTCTTTCGCGATTTTCTGCACGAAGTCATTGTCCATCGGTATCCGATCGATGTCTTTGCAAATGACCGGTACCTCAATCGCCTCGATCCTGTGCTTCTGATTGTCGTACTGACTTTGAAGTTCGATTTCGACCAATCTTCGCTCGTGCCTTTCGCTGTCCCGGACACTTCCGAATGCGTTAACGCTCAGATTCACTTTGCCAATCACCTTCAGTTTAAGCTTTCTTGACACATCTTCTCTGATGAAGGTTCTCTGATTGCCGCTATCAATGACGCCTCTAATGTAACAGCATTCATTTTTTGTCATGAGCCAGCCGCGGAACGTCTGCAAAAGCACATCATCGTTGTCATCACAACTTCCTTTTGTTTTTGAAGTTGT